TCCATGCCCCATTTGGCGAATGGTACTGGGGCTATGGATAGCCGTCAGGTCAGTGGCCGGACGATGGATGAGCTTGCCAAACCTTTGACATTTGTCACATTTTTTCACCATATCCATGGCGTCTGCTTCTAGGGTAGGCCAGATGTAGCCTTGCCGTCTGGCTCTCTTTGCTAGGGTCTTGTCGCCTATGTGGGAAGCACAGAACCCTGAATGCAAATCTTCGAGGACCTCTCGGCCCTTTTCTAGAGTAACACACTTCAAAAGAGGTTGAAGATATCCTTTCTTGAAAAGTTTCCCTTTATGAATTTTAAAGTTGGACGCACACTTTTTCATTATGATCATCTCTGGGTAAGTATCCGGCAGGGTGCCGTCTGTTAAGTATGCCCGGATGCCATCCATCCAGGTTGAGCTTCCATCAAGGACTCCAATGGGTTCCTCCTCAATGCTTCTTTTTTCCATCACTTCCCAGAAAACAGACCTTGGTGTGTCACAAGAGGCGAATGATGCTAATTTGGAGAGAGCATCCGCCTGATTGTTCTCAGACCTGGGCACCTGACTTAGATGAAATTCATCAAGTGTCCCATCCTCTTCTTTGACCGCCTGTAGATACTTGATCATAGCTGGATGTGTGGCTTCATAGTCACCATGGTATTGGCTAACGATCAATTGTGAATCAGAACAGGCATCCACTCTCTTTGCCCCAACCGCCTTACACATGCGGATTCCGGCTAGTAAGACTTCATATTCAGCCTCATTGTTCGAGGCCTGGAACTTAAAACGCAATGCATATTCATATTTGTCCCCTTCAAGAGACTGACATATGACGCCTGCACCACAGCCGTTCATTGTGGAGCTCCCTCCACATATACCTTCCAGAGTTGGTCAGGATTTTCTAGATCAGCCGGCCTAGTCATTTCAACAATGAAGTCGGCAAGTGCCTACCCCTTCACTACTTTCTTTGGCTCAAAAGACCATAACCGGATGTGCCAAGAAGTAGAGTTTTAGCTTCTTAACTGCCATGAAGAGGGTCAGGCCAAATTTTTCAACCATGGGGTACAGTAACTCAGCATTCTTCAAGACATGGCTGATGAAATAGACAGGGAGCTGGCAGCCGTCTCTTTCAGCAAGAAGAACGCACTGAGAGCATGATCAGAGACGGCCAAGTACATGTATAACATTTCCTTTGAAAGGGGGCTGACTAGCCTTGGCAAAAAGTGCAAGTGTTCCTTCAACTTTTGGAAGGTCGCCTCTGCATCCGTCCCCCATTCAAACATAGTCTTCTTCTTGATTGCTTGGAATAAATAGAGGCACTTATCGCCTGACCGACTGAGGAATCTCCCCAATGCCACCAGACAACCTGTTAATTTTTGAACTTCCTTTACAGTACGGGGCGACTGCATGTCTATGACCGCTTGTATTTTTTCTGGATTGGCCTCTATCCCCCTTTGATCAATTAAAAATCCGAGGAACATCCTAGACTCAACACCAAAAACACATTTTTTGGGATTGACCATGACCTGGTGCCGCTTGAGTGTGGCGAATGTTTCTCGGAGATCTATAAGATGGTCCGTCTGAAGTTTGGATTTGACTATCATATCATCAATGTACACCTCAACATTCCTTCCAATTTGATTAATGAAGACTGTATTAATCATTCTCTGGAAGGTAGCAGGCGCATTCTTCAAACCAACCGGCATCACAGTGTAACAGAATAACCCCTGATCAGTGACGAATGCCGTCTTTTCTTGATCTTTCTTCCATAAGGGTATCTGGTGAAAGCCTGAATAGGCCTCCATGAAGCTCATCAAGGCATGGCCGGCTGTAGAGTCGACCAGACTGTCGATCTTTGGGAGAGGAGAGTTATCCTTCGGACATGCCTTGTGTAAGTCTATGTAATCTACACACATGCGCCAGGTTCCATTCGGCTTCTTTACTAGGACAACATTGGCAACCCTATTAGGGAAGTAGCATTGCCAAATGAAACCAGCATCTAACAATTTTTTCACCTTGGCGGCTGCCGCCTAGCTTCTTTCTTCACCATGGTTCCTCTTCTTTTGCCTTACCAGCTTCTTTTTGGACGGCTAGATCTGGGCTAATGCCTGGCATCTTGTCTACTTCAAAGGCAAAGATATCTTTGAATTCTTTTAACAAGTGGTGCAAGTCTGCACCGAGTTTAACAAAAGCAATCGTCCCAACCTTAGCAGTTTGGTCAGGTCAAGAGTCATCCAGGACGATGTCCATGTGTTCACCAGTCGGCCGGGGACGGAGTTCATCTGGCCTTTGACCGGTTAGTGATTGCTATTGCCTGTTTTTTTTTTCTCGGCCACCATTTGGTTGGTCTTTCTCTTCTTGCCGGCAACTGTTGCAGCAGGCGCGGCTTCCTTGACTTGGTCTGGGTCAGTAGTTTCTCCATTGGGGCCGGTTGCGACCACAGTGGGCTTAACATCAGAGAGGTAAAACTCCCTGGCCATTTTCTGGTCTCCTCGTAGGGAGCCGACTGTTGTATCATCCTTCTCAAACTTGAGAAGCATGAGAGACGGAATGATAACAGCCTTGGATTCATTTAGGGTAGGACGCCCCAAAATCATGTTGTAGGCCGTCAGTTCTTCAACAACTAAGAACCGGGCCACCATGTGGCGTCCTTCCCCTTTCTCGCCTAGACGAATAGGTAAGTCTATTCGACCTACCGGATGTACCACACCACCCCCAAATCCTACTAAGGGATGAAAGACCTTGTGCATACTCTCGGGCTTGTACCTGAGCTTGGTCAGGCAGTTGTGACTGATGAGATCAGACGAACTCCCGGTGTCAATGAGGGTCCGGCCAACTCTTTGGTTGGCCACTTTCCATTCGATGACAATAGGGTCATCATGCGGCCTTCTGATTTTGCCCCTATCATCCTTAGTAACTACAACTTCAGGGAAATAATCCTTGGACGCCTGCCCCTCATCGAACGAGTTGATGTCGAGCTGTCTGATGTAGTCCTTGTTACCCCGGATTGTTGGGCCGCCTCCAGCGAAGCCGCCTGCTATTCTATAGATCGGGGTTTCATTAGTATCCGAACTTTTAGCAGAGTAGGGCTTCTTTTTGGGCGGCTGCCCAGTGTTAGTTTGTAGGGTAACTTTGGACCTCAGAACATAGGACTTGAGTACCCCTTTGTCAGCCAGGTGATCCAGCAAATGCTTGAGGCTATAGCATTCGTTGGTGTCGTGGCCAATCCTCATGGTAGTGGCAGTATTTGTTTTTGTTCCGATTTTTGGCAGAACCTCTCATGGGGGCCGGCTTCTCAATAAAGCCCCGGTCCTTAATCTCCATGAGGATGGAGTAACTGTCTTTATTGAAATCATACTTCGGGGAGTACGTCTTTGCTTCTTTCTTTTTCTTCTGGGATGGCTGTTCAGTAGCATCAGCCACTCAGACTTCTTTTCTTTTCTTTCCTTCTTTCTTAATCGGCTGTGATGGCCGACTCTCTCTCTTGTCAAACCTCTTTGAGTCTGACTGCTTACTGATGTTACAGAGCTCAGTCGCCTGTATATAGGCGTCCGCCTCCATCAGTGCCTCTTGGAGGGTAGCTACCCTCTTTCTGACGAGGTCGAACTTGAAGGTCGATCTGTCTTTCAGACCTTTGAAAAAGCCTGTATAGGCCGCCTCATTAGACAGTCCTTGAATCTAAATTTTCACCAGATTGAACCGCCTGATATATGAGCGTAGCCCTTCCTTATCTCCCTGCTGTATGGCTCCCAAGTCAAGACTTGTTTTCTTTGCAAGGATATTCATTGAGAAGTTTGACGCGAACAAATAGGCAAGCCTCTTGAAATTATTGATGCATCCGGTTGGCAGGTTGCCGAACCATTGCTGGGCGACGCCCTTCAACGTGGCTAGGAAGCATCTACACCATGTGGCATCGTCCAACCCTTGAAGATACATAAGGTTGGTGTATGCCATCAAGTGGTCTTCTGGGTTGGAGGTACCATCATAAGTGCCTACCAACACAATATTCATCTTAGCCGGTTGTGCGGCCTCAGTTATATCCTTGGAGAAAGCTGAAGGTTGTTCCCTAAGTCTTAGCAGTCGGAGCTGTCAGTCCAAGGGCTGGACATTATGTGCCGCCTGCCCCCCGAAGAGGGTAGGCTGCATATATGGTTGTTCATAAAGCATGTATGGCTGTTGAGGTGCATACGGGGCCGCCTGGAACATCTGAGGACTAGAGTGAGTGGACATGCCGCCTGTCTGGTCCTCTCGGTTTGATTGAGAATACCTCATTGAGGTATTCTGAAAGCTGTCATTAAAGTTCGACGTTGAGGCTGACTCTGACAGTTGCATATTCTTCTTTTGCTGGATTATCATCCGTGCATCGGTATACGTTTTCTTGGAACCATCCGACTGTACATGCCGGATGGAATTCCTCTTCCCTGGCTCAGGGAATCGAAGTCTGGCCAAGTTTATCAAGGGCTTTTGTCCCTCCCTTGGTTTAGGGTAAGGAGTGGCCTCTCGGTCTTTGACCGGCTTATTCCTCCCAGAATTAAAGGGCTTCTTGGCTGACTGTTCCTTGGTAGGGACAGCCGTCCGTTTATCAATAAGATCCTTTATCTCCCCTTTAAAACTTGTCATGAGAGTCATTAGCTCGTTTCTAGTGATGGGGGTGGATCCTTCAGCCACCTGGAGCTGACCATTCGGCTGGCCAACTGTTTCACTGGGCCCTGCCTGGTCAATGTTTCGTTCCCTTCGGTAGGACAGATGCGCCGTGTTCTTAGGGACCCGTCAGGGGCCGTGTGGGTGGCGACTTCATATTCGTCATCTGTATCCTGGTCTGAGTAGACCTAAGCATCGGCCATAGGCTGTTTCTCATTAAGAGGCAGTACAGGTTCTTATGAAGTCATCTCAGAAGTACTCTCCCCACATACGGCGCCAAATGTTTCGGGGTTTTTTGATGTCTTGCGGGAGAGTTACAATTCCAAGACCGACCTTTTGGACGCCTGTACCTGCAAAACAACGGAGACTCCTGTGGGTGGGAGTTCCGCCTCCAACGATCAAGTTACAACGTGTTTGAGGAGTAAAGTGCGGAAAGTAAAGGGTCTCTCTTGGACTCCAAGAGAGTATCTACAATGCGTAATTGCTCAGTTCGAGGTGTCAGGTGTCTGACTTTCTTTGATTGTGAGTTAATGTGTATGTGAATTAATTGTTTCTGAATGATGTTCCTCAGAGGGAACATCTCCCTTTTATAGGGTGTTGGAAAACGTGCCTAGTACTAGGTTTTAGTAAACCTAGGACTGACTGGGCTTTGCCTAGGAATTTAGGCCGTTAGAGGCTAGTTTTCGGGTTGGCTATCTGTCTGCCATGTGTCGTGGCCTGATTGGTCCACCCTTGACCTCTCATGAGGTGACACGTGGCGGACTCTTGTTGGTCCACATAGCGGTCACGTGGCAGAGCTTAAGTGGTCCACGTGGCGGGGAAAAAATCCCCTAATCACTTCTAGTAGAGGTATGTTCACCTCAACCTTGCGAAAAATGTCTAGGGTCTTTTTCTCCTTTTCATGCTCTTTTTCTTATTCTTAGATGATAACCTGCTAGGAAATGGAACAGAAGAAGAAAACTGATTAGTATTAGGAGAAACAACATCACTTACCTTAGGGAGCTGCTTATCTTGCTCTGGAACAATAGTTTCCTATTCCTCTTGGTGTTCTGCCAGCCCTTCAATCTTTTTCGCTGGGATCTCTAATTGCTTGCCACTTCTAAGTGATATTGCACTTGCATTCTCCTTTGGATTTTTCTCTAGTTGACTTGGCAACTTGTTAAAACTCTGAGCTTGGAGCTTTCCTACTGTGTTAGCTAACTAAGAGACTTGGTTCTCTAAGTTCTTTAGACCACTTCTTGTCTCTTGCTGAAAATGCAAAGTGTTGTCAGCCATTGCCTTCACGATATCTTCGAGAGACATGCTACTAGATTGTGGCTGGGAAACTTGCTGATTTTGAGGTCGCGGCTGATATTGTGGTTGCTGATGAAAACCAGGTGGAGGATTAGATGCTTGTTGTTGCTGGAAAGCTGGTGGTCCGAGGTTAGAGTTGCCTGCCTGCTGCTAAGCATTACCATATCTCAGGTTTGGATGATCTATCCACCCCGGATTATAAGTCTGAGAAAACGGATCTTGACGTCTTTGCTACTCCTGACCACCACCAATAGAATTCACTTGTTCTTCTTTCATAGTAGGGCACATATCGGTTGGGTGTCCTACCATTGAACAGAGGCCACATGCTTTTTCTTGCCCTTTTTCGATCATTACTCGCTCCACTAAGGAAGTGAGTTTAGCTACTTGTTGCTCGAGGTTAGAACTCACCACTTCATTAACTTGACGTACAGAAGTGGATTTGATATTTCGACCTCCTCGATACTGAGATTTTACAGCCATGTTTGCAATCAGTTTCTTTGCATCTACGGGTGTTTTGTCAACAAGTGCTCCACCACTTGCTGCACAACTAAATTCCTGTCGGTGTCCCTGAGTCCTTCGTAAAACTACTGTACTGATAATATCTCACTGATCTGATGGTTTGGACAACTATCACATAGTTTCTTGAAACGTTCCCAGTACTCATGAAGTGTCTCTACATCGTCCTGTCGAATCCCACATATTTCATTCCTGATTTTGGCTATCAAAGATGCTGGAAAATATCTTTCTGCGAATACTTTTAGCATTTGATCCCAAGTTGTGATGGTTCCAGCAGGTACTTCAAACAACCACTCCTTAGCAGCATCACACAAGGCAAAAGGAAATACCTTTAACTTGAGTTGGTCGAGGGTGACCCCAACCGATTTCATCCCCGCACATGCTATGTGAAATTCCTTTAAAAATCTGCTAGCCTCATTCATGTGAACTGAACCCAAGGAGTTAGTATTACAGAAGCCTGAAAATGTGGGAAGAGCTCTAATCAACCCCGGCTTGATCTCAATTTTTGCATCATCATCTACTATGCACAATAAATTTGGATCAAACGTTGGAGCTGCAAGCTGCTTTAGTGTTTGATCACCCATCTCAAAAATATATTCACCCTCCTCTTCCGAAAATGAACTTTCACTGTGTGGTAACGGAATATGACGAGCTTGCTCCAATATTTTAGCACGAGCCCTTTTAGCTACAGGAAGAGTAGAAAAAGGATGAATTATAAGTCTCTGAATCCTTGCTGCAAAATTTCTCAATCTTTGATGTTTCAATTTTCTGTCACACATATAAGAACAAGGAACTAGGTGACAAGTTAGTAAGAAAAGTTAGAAAAACACAAGAAATAATAAAATAAAACGCCAATACCCTGGCAGCGGCGCCAAAATTTGGTACGACTGTCGCGTGTCTACCAAAAATAAACCTAACTTTGACCTCCTAAAAATGTAGTAGGGTAAGATAGGGTCGATCCCATAGAGAATTAGATATCAAATTATTACTTGTGTGTTTAGAAACCCCTGTTTTGAACAATGACTATGATCTAATATATAAAACTACGAACTTGAAAATAAGCTAAGTACGGAGATGTAAAATTAACAATAGGAATAAATATTAAAAATCAAGAATGACAAAATAGGGATCGGGAGATACAATATAGCATTGGAATATCGATTGATCATCGAATTATATAAATCATGTTTTATCTCAATGTTAGCCGATGAACACAAACAAACATTCAACACTTCCCTTAATTGCAAATAAACCAAACAAGATGTTGGAGTATTGTCTAACTAACTAACAATCAAGAACAAGCTCTATAGACTCGACTAATTAGCAGCATTAATAACTAGGAAGTAGCTAACTTAAGCCACAAATCTCACGAGCTCGGATTCGTGCAACTTAAAGGGCTGATAATCATAGGCATCGGACAAGCTTCAATCACCCATCAAACACCTAAGTGCTATTAAGGAATATTAATCCGGACAATTACATATCACAAATCAATATTCTAGCAATTAAACTAGCAAACTATACTAAAGATGGCCGGTCTAAAATATAACTCAACTAATTCATACCAATACAACAGATTATCACTCCAATCAAGATATAAACATAATAAGCTCAAATCATAACATTCTTATTCTCACAATACAATAATCCAATGTATATTATATCTCCGTACCCACGACTAATCTAGCCTGACATACTGAAAAATGAAAGTATAACAATGGAAGCTATATAAATCATATTGCTTAAAGAAAATAAGGAGATAAATATAAACAAGTAAATGAATCTAATAATACTTGAAACAACTCCTTAATCCGATAATACTGAAATGATGAAAACAAAATTAACTTAGTACCAAATCACCAACTATTGAAACACTGCATGCACAAATCATAAATTCACAAAGGAATCTAGAGTAATGAATACCAATTTTTCTAGAGTGAAAATTAGCGAAACAGCCACGAACAACCAGCCTTAAAAGCCGAAGCAAAGCCTCTGAATTCCCATAGCAAATGAAGGTTCTCCGTCCGCTGCTTCATTCCACCGCTGCTCTGCTACTTTGCAGCAGCTTCGCTAGCCCAGAAAACAACCCAACCACCTCCTTCGCTGTTCTTCGCTATTCTACTGCCCTGAGTTCTTTTCTGATTTGTTGTTCAATTTCGCTGCCCAGAATTTCCCTCATGAGCTTAATAATCTCCTCCCTAAAAATCAGATTGTTCCCCCAAAAAATACGGAACTAAATTCCTTCTAAACCGAAATCAGCTTCCTCCTCCCGATTCGACCGCCCTTTGGCTTTACTCTTTAGATCTTCTTCTATCCCGAATTTCTTTCCCTCATCCTCATCTGATTTCATCCTTATTTTCTATTTTCTTGATAATTCAATCCCCAAATATTTTGCAAGGTAGTTGCTTTTGCCAGTTTTGTGGTAGAAGAATGCTGAGGTTATTTGTTTTGAAATATGGAAGTAGTATACAACTTCAATGGCCCACGATTATTTGTCTCCTTTTGGCCCAAGTATTTGTAATTTGCAATTTGATATTAATATCTTCCTTCCTACAGACAAATAAATAAAATAGTAGTAGTACGTGTATCGGGAAGAAAATTACTTAATATACCATTAAACCATTAAATATCAATATAAAATCGAGAGTTTAATGACATAAAATAATATACTTTTATGACTCTATCATAAACCTATCTATTACTAGATTATTTTTTTGTGGGAATATCCAGTAATAGATTTGTATGTTTTAATATTATTTTTGTTAAAAATAAGATAATCAAATATTAATATACGAATTAATTTTTTACAACAAAAAACCCATGCATTGCACAAGCTAAAAACTAGCATTGGTTAAAGTAAGTGTAATGAATAGTGTCAAAACTCCCAATGAGACACTAAAAAAAACGAAGAAAGTAGATAATAAAAACCAATGAGTGGTTTTTCTTGGTAAAAGTCAAATTTTCATTTTTTTTTAATTTTTAAATATTAGCATATGTGAAAAATAACGACACAACGTGTGCATAACAAACTAATTACAAATTTACGAAGAAAAAAAAATCCATTCAAATTTCTACCTTTCACATATTTTGTTGGACTTTTTGGAAATAACCACCTACTCCCTCCGTGTTTTAATAAGTGCTACACTTACCAACTGTGGCCGTGTTTTAATAAGTGTTGCACTTCCTTTTCTTGGAAAAAAACTACATTTTAATATTATATATCTCTCTTCTCATGGTCCCACCTAAACTCACTAATACTTTTTTTTTATTATTTCTTTCCTATCACATTCATCACTTTTCAATAAAATATTAACCCCATTATCTGTCTTTTACAATTTTTTAATAACCTAGCTACACCACTTACCACTTATTTTATTTAAGTCAATTAAATTGCCTAAACCTATGTGCCGGTCAAAGTGTAACACTTATTAAAACATAGAGGCCGGGAGTACCATTATTCTCGTTTTAGTAATAACCAGCACCAATTTTATTTTATTTTTTTGAATTTTACCAACAACTATTTAAAATAAATATTGTATCTTCCTATCAGATTGCCTAAAATCTCCTACATGACGTCATTGTGGGTTCCACCTATGGATTTTTTCGATTTTTTTCATTTATCTACCTTATGTTATTCAGTTTCTTAATTAAAAATCCAAATTATACAAATAAAGCAAAAATGAGGTACCTAATTTATGAAATTGGGGCTAGTTGTATGATGGCGTTCTTCACTTAGGGTTTTTAAATGGAATTAGAGTTTTTTTATTTTATGATTAATTCACAAAATTGGGACTAGTTTGCATCAATTTCATGTATTATGTCTTTAACAACACCAAAATAGATATTATTGTTTAAAAATTATACTTAATTATTGTTATGAAGAAATAGGGTTCATATATATTATATTGGGGGTTTTCATAAATTCAATCGTTTTCTTAATTATGAATTATAATCCTAAATTGAGCATATATATTAGTTCAATATTTAGTAGTTAGTGAATGTAGATATCGCATAATTTTGAAAATTATATCATTTTGAAAAACTCCACAAATTTGAGATAAACCCTAAACCGAATTTGAGATAACCACAAGTTATCATCGTGAGCTTGGATTATGTTGAATCAACTAAAAAATGATTTCCCCTAACCCAATTTTAATGTTTATTGAAAAAAAACGCAATCGAACGTGAGAATCGAGGCCTCAATGGATAAGAGCAATACAATGACGTCATGTGTGAGGGATTGGGCTATTTGGTGGAAAAATTTAATGTTTTTAGAAATAGCAGGTGGTAAAATTCAAATAAAATAATTAGTGGTTATTACTAAAACGAGATGAATAGTTGGTAGTTATTTTCAAAATAATCTATTTTGTTAGCGGTGTGGTTTGATTAATATGAGAAAATACAAGTATCTCTTCTTGATATACATTCAATGTATCTCAAGAGGTTAAAGTTATCTTTTCAACTAATAAAATAGGGACTAAATGTAGTTTTACTTTCTCTTTCCCTTTTTTTTTCCATTCACACCCATTCCTCAATCTTTTTCTCTCTCTTCGCAAGTACTTCCATTGAAGCAGCCTTTGAGTTTCCTCTCCACCTATTGAAGCAAATTCTAAGGTAAGATGATTGCAATTTTTTTTACCATCGTCGAATTAATTGTCAAACGCCCAGTTAATTATCAAATTTCAATTTCACAATTTAGTGGTAATCGCTGATCATAGTATTTCAATTTCTTTATCTAGTATATAGCAACTTCAATGGATGAGGGAAAGCACAAGAAAACGAAAACCACCTACCCTTAGGGTTAATAATGCCCTTAATTTCTCCATTTTTATTAGGGTTTCATTGAATTCGACGGTGAAGCCGCTGAAAATGATGGGATGGTGTTGGTGTATGTTGTTGTGTTGGGTTGTTGTATGAGATCATGGTGAAGAAATTGTCATTGTTATGTTGAGAATGCATGAAGAAGGAATGAGGGGAGGAGGAAGAAACTTAAGAAAGGAAGGATGAAGAGGGATGCAGTGGGTCCGTGCGCATCCAAATAAAAATAATAAAACAATTAAATAATCAGTGCGCACGAATTCATAGGCACAAAATAGAAAAATATGCCATTTGAGATACAAAAAACAAGCTCAAATAATGTGGAAAATAAAAACCTTTTATTTTAGTTGAAACTTGTTAATAGTGCGCACGAATTCATAGGCACAAATAACAATCTTGTTTTATTTTAATTGAAACTTTATCTCTCTCTAGTTTTTTCTCTCTACCTCTCTCTTAGTTTTCTTCTTTCTTTTATAGTTTCCATGGAGGAGGAACCTCCTCCTCCACCTTTAACTCCATTTACCAAAGATCTAGATAAGATTAATCATTCAATTGTGGATGATGTTTCTTCCCTTAGTTTTAGGGAAGTTGTTGCCTCCTCTTCGCAGTGGTTTGACCAGGCCTAAAAGATTGTCGAATCGGCAAAAATCTGGGATGATATTGAGGATATACCACTAGATGAAAATCTAGCGGTTCAGTTTTAGCAAAAAAAAAACTCTTTCTAAACTAAGACAACCATGGAAACTTACTCTAATGGGAAAATCTCTTGGAATCAATGTTTGCCTAGGATTTATGGCGAAACAAGCTCAAATAATGTGGAAAATTAAAGGAACTTTGGAGACTATTGGGTTCCGATGTCTTCTTCTTCCGTTTCTAACTTCAAGATGACTATGAAAGAGCTTTCTTTGGTGGCCCTTGGTTCATTTTTGACCATTATCTAATGATTACCAAGTGGAAACCCAATTTTCGTCCTAAGTTGTCAGAATTTATTACCATGACAGTTTGGGTTAGAGTTCTGGAATTACTGATGGAATATTATGACAAATAAGCCTTTTCTGACATAGCTAAGGTGGTTGCAAAACCTATTCAGGTTGATTATGCAACGGACGGATTAACTCGAGGCAGCTATGCTCGAGTTTGTGTGGAAATTGATCTTCAAAATCCCCTTATCACCAGGATATGGGTGGGCGGTGATTGGCAAGCGGTGGTTTATGAAAATATAAACTCCCTATGTTTTGGGTGTGGTTGTGTGGGCCATGATAGAATGCATGTAACACATTTGGTCCTATTTCATCTGCTACAGATGACAAGTGTCATCCTTCTCCTAAAGTGCAAGATAAGAATTCCAACTCAATTGTTCATCTCAAATTCAGGCTAATTCTACTTCCAATCTAAACTTCAACTTAGGCCTGGCCCAAGCTCAAATGGGTGAGCATTCTCAATTTGGGCTCTCTTTGCAAGATTCTGATGAGGTCAAACATGGTCCTTAGACCCTTATCACCAATAAACGAAATAAAATAAAATAAAAAAGCTAATAATAATAGTAGAAAAATTGATAATAACAATGTTAATTTTTTTTCAGAAAAAAACAAAAACAACAATAATATTGGTAATATGTTGGCTGAAGAGTCCAAAGCAGGAAGTTCAAAAGTTTTAAATAATGCTAGTAATGAAAAGGCTGAACAAATTATGGTTTGGAAACCAAAAATAAAATTGACAATGTTGTGCTTGGAAAAAATAAAGAAATTTAAACTGTCTCTACTATTCCCAAAGAGGGTAATGATGACTCTGATAGTTCATTTTCAAAAGACAAAGATCTTTTAGCTTCTTTAAGTGAATTAATCAGACATGCAAGATCCTTTTAGCTTCTTTAAGTGAATTAATCAGACATGCAAGCTCTTCTATTGGTCAAGTTAGTGATATGGCTATTAATATCCCAACTTTCACCCCCCATAACACCTCCTTATATTCTTCCATTCGTTCCTCTTCTCAAACCCATTCCAAAAATTCTCTTCATATTTCTTCCTCTTCTCAAATCTCCTCCAGCCATGCAACCTCACAAAATTCCCACATCTCCCTCGAAACAGCCCAAGAACGCCATGATTCATTTGAATTAGATGCTGGAAAACTCAAACACTATCCTAACCAAGATTACCCCAAACCAGCCCCACCTCCAAGCCTCCAATTCGCTCCCTCCCTCTCAACCCTGATGAA